GGGAGGGGGGGGGGCGGAAAGCAAACAGCCTGATTATATGCAGGTATAGCTTTAATCCCCCACAGAACTGCAGAAGTCTCAGGAATTGCATAGCACACAGGAAAACCTAACTTCTACCCTGAAAAAAAAGTCTTGGGTAGGCAAGCCAGTTTGTCTGCCAGAAATGTCAGCACCTGGAACCACATATACATTCGTTTGCAGTGCAAATGCCTAGCTTTGTTAAAGATTTGCTCTGGTCAATAGATCTCTGAAAACAATTTTTGAAGTATACACATTATAAATACCATGATTTCTTTCAAGCTAATAGGCTGGAAATACTTAAAAACTAGCATGTACTCATAGGAATAGAGATTTTTTTTCTGACTGACATTTTTCTCTTCTCTAAACTTCTTGCATTAAAAACTTCTAGTCACATGTAATTGCTAACATTAAACGTTTATTATTTAAAAAAAAAAAATACACATGCAGAAAGCCATCCTCTTTAAAACCAACACATAAAACAATCCAGCAGAGATTTTGGAGGAAATCAATAGCCCTATAAGGCATGGATTCATCTGAAACCTCCAGCAGAAATGTATTTTCTGTGGGAGTCCATGCTCCGATTATACCATGCAGTGGCACGAGTCTAGCCCAAGTCAATCACATAACAGAGCACTTCCCTTGCAGTTTATCTTTCTTTTTCTGCTGCTTGGATTTCTTTCCGTCCACCTGGAGACTGACAGTTCTCCTCTTCTCCAGGTTCAAGAGCTCCTGGAAGAGCTCCTGCACGTTGTAGTTCATTTTGGCTGAGGTCTCCATAAAGGAGCATTTCCACTTGCTGGCTAACGCTTGCCCCTCGCTGGCATCCAGTTCCCTCTGGGTCTCGTCACTTTTGTTACCCACCAACATGATTGGGATTTTTTGGATGTCCCCTTTAATCTGACAAATCTGTTCAAAGATGGGCTGAAGATCTTCCATGGACTGCCTGCTGGTGACTGAGTACACCAAGATGAAAGCATGCCCTTTGGATATAGACAGCCTCTGCATAGCAGGGAACTGATGGCTTCCCGTGGTGTCCGTAATCTGAAGGGTGCAGATGCTCTTATCGCAGCTGATTACCTGCCGGTACGTATCTTCGATTGTGGGGATATAGGTTTCCCTGAAAGTTCCCCTTACAAAACGAAGGACCAAGGAGCTTTTGCCAACCCCTGCTGCTCCAAACACAACCACCCTGTAATCATTGCTTTGTTCAGGCATGTTTGCTGTGCTGCGATACAGGTGAAGATTTTAACTGAAAAAGCCCGAGTTCTTCAAGTTTACACACACCTTTACAGAGGTGGCCTGCGGAGAAGGGAGGGGCAAAAGGGAACGACAGGAGCAGGGGGAGAGAAAGAAATCGTTCACACCAGCTCGGTACATTTACGGTACGTTATTGAAATAAGCAATTAAATAAGTCAATCCCCTCCCACCCTGTTTTTTCGCGTTAAAGAGAAAAAAAAAACAAACAAAAAACAAACCGCTATCCCCCCCCAGGCATACATCCCAAACACGCTAAACGTTATCAGAAGTGAAAACGAATTCACCTGTAGCCATCAGCTCCACCGTCCAGCCAAACG